CGCACGCGGAAAGCTTTAGTGACTTGCTGTTACTTTTTAACGATAGGAGGTGCAAAACCTCTGCACTTATATTCCGTTAGCCACTTAAGTTCCGTATTTTGACACTCCATTAGACCCCCACAGGGAAATACGTTCTGCCGCATATTCCAACAACAGCGGCCTTTCACATCCGTTGCTAGGAGTCCTATGCATCAACAGTATCATATCATACTGTCCGAATTAATAAAGTTAGATATTTCCTCAGACTTCTTCCCCCTTTGCCTCAGCCATTGGCCTATAACTAATACGAATAAAGGAATATGCATTCTGCAATTTTCTCTGATGAAGGATCCGTAACAGATTTTGAAACGTCAGGTAAATAAAAGTCTTGTCCTAGCAATCACTGTCTGTTGTTCTACTCATTAATCCTTACCTAAAAATTACGTTGATTATTATGCATATTAATAATCTATTCTTTCAGCAAAAATGCTACTCTTTGGTAAATCAACATAAATCCATACCTTTTATCCTCAATTTTCTTTCAATAGTGCCATCTTTGGTTCCCCATACAAATTAACTCATATACCTACATTCTCTTGCCAAGTCTAACTCCTTGTGGACTCAGATTTTTGATAAGGCGACGCGGGGCTGGTACTGGCAGGGTGGTCCGCTTGTTTATTTTTCAATTTTTTTAAATTCGTTATTATATATTAGCGGTTCATTATATTTTAGTTTACTATTTTACATTTTTGCATGATATATTTTTAAGCATGCTCTTCTGTCCCCCTAAAATCGCTTTGGCCATCGGTCCAGCTAGACGTTACTCTGGGGTCAGGGGAATTATAGGGGTCAAATAATGGATTAGGGAGCAAGTGGCTGACATGGTTGTTAGCCCCTTGAAGTGCATCCAATCTGCGAACAGCCGCTTTCCATCTCAGAAAATTTCCTCAATTTTGGCATCCGCAGTAACAACAACCATTCTCATAAACTTCACCTAGACAAAGACGGATCTGTCGAATGCGATGGCAAAAAATACATGCGAAATTGCCAAACAAAATGCAAAAGTGGCTATACCAATTATGACAGATACGTATTGGCACAGCAACTGCAGCTTTTGTGTAAAAAACTACTCTTACATGCTGCCATCACAAATGGTAGCACCCAGAGTAAATAGGAAACTTTAAAGGATTAAAAAATTTCATTATTATGATGGCGTTTACGTGTGCTCAATAGTTTTCGGAAACTGGTTTATTCTCATGCATTACTTTAAAACTTGATTCACGCATATTTTACATGATCAAAAGCGATTTGGTTTACACTTTATCTAGCGTTAACAAAATAAAGCACTTCAAAATGCTATAAATTAGAGAACGATGCTTAAGGACATTTGAACGTAACAGAGTGGGCATTTCTAAACTCGTTTTATTTAGTGGTCTTGACATTACAAAAGGCGGCTTATAAAGGTATTCTACTATTTTCCAATACTGTAAGCAGTTAGCGAGCTGATTTTCATCCTTATTTTGCACACGCAACATAATTAGCACCCGTCATAATTGTGTCAAGCGAACGCACCAAATAGTTATCCTTTTTCAAAAAACCTAATGTCTGTGGAAGCATCACAGCGGACTTTTCTGCCATTTGCAGTAAAAAGAGGAATTATACAGTTGTTAGAAAACAACATGTGTGAGAGGAACTTGTTTCTCAGTAAGAAAATAAAGGTTAGTATCCGGTTCATCATATTTGTGGGGAATGTAAGCGGGTTACCTTTGAATCCCTTTTTGTACATGCGTGTTGGGATATCGGAAAATAGTATCTCAGCGTATTGGCGAGGCCAAGTGACATGAGTCAATGAAGTGGAACATAGCTAAAGAAGAGCAGACAGTGAAAAAACTTCTAGGAATGTTTTAAGAGAAAAAACTGCCACTCTTGGGAAGACGGTCAAACGGGCAGGGGCAATCGTAGACGTAATCGGGATCATCACCGAAGTGGGGAAGATGCGGCCAGATACAACTTTCCTGATTGCAGTGTCCGTCGACAAGGTTGCGAAAACAGAAATATCCACCAAGATCGTCGACAGTCCGCTGCGGGTCGAACCAAGGAAGAACTTTAAGAGGCAGCATGGAGTATGGCCGTAAGCTTCGTCAGGTGCCATCGCTGACGGGTTCTTCATGGTTCGCAGATAGTCAGGTCAGGAAGACTGCGAAAACCTTCGAATAGGAATGATGATTCGAGACCGTAAGCAATAAGAGGTTCATAAATAAAATAGAACATCAACAAAATTTTACCAGAATGCAGCTAGGGAAAATTATAGAATGGCGTTTTCGCGGCCTTGTCCATCGGTCTGGGGGTTTAGGTCGGATGGAGTGGAACCGTTGCTACCGTAAAACGTTATGCTATAAAATAAATGCTACTGGAATGTAGCAAGTAGTCGTACACGGATAGTTGCACATTCACTGAATGGTGGGGGAAGGTCTCCTGGAAAACAGGCATGAAGTTTATTTTACACGTGCTATCCCTGCATATAAACAGACGATGAGTTACAGACTGATGAGCCACGGACTTATACGCGCGACTGGTCGAAAAACAACGGTGCATTCCTGTTGGACTATAAAATCACCACAACAGTTTCTATTACTGCCTCTCGATCGCGTGGATTTAAATAAGTTCATGGGGGCCGAACCCGACTACATTTTAATGGATCTTTCGATTTCCTGTTTCGTCTCTATGGGACCATTTCTCCGAGGCAATAGTCCAAACACTGCAGACGAATTTGTGCGTGAACTGCGAGACTGAAGTCCCAGATATTACAAGGAGTAACACAATCTGCTGGCGAATAGCGAGGCAATAAAAGTACTAAATGCACGCACAGAAGGGTTGCAAAAAGTTTTTGACTGTGCAACATGGAGCAGAATTCAAAACCGTATGTTTTTTATCAAAGTTTACCAAACTGCGCCAACTGGACCATGATCTTGCTAAATTAGCTGATAAAGTATTGTTTCCGTTTCGTCTATTTCGGGGCAGAATTTAACGGGCGACCCAATGTATTTCCCTAGGGCGTTAGTATTTGCATCCATATACGCTAGTTATCCGGTTTTGTATGATGCAATGCCTTCACATGACAGCCCACGGAATTGGTCATTAAGGTATTTAATTAGCGGAAAATAAGTCCTAAAATGCCCAATAATTTTCCAATTCCAGCTACAGTTGTCGGACATTTTGTGAGGCATTTGTAATATCTAAGTGCATTGATATCTCGAATTACACAAAGTCAGCGAACAGGCTGCCTTCTACTGACAACTTTATATTTCTTAGGATATCGTATGTTCAACTTTCTCTAGAAATTAATTTCTCTTCGCGGTATATATACGGGATCACGTCCAATTCCACCACGTGTGATGCAAGTTCACCAGTTCATGACCCGCATGCCACTCATCAAGCAATTCACGCACAAGTGGGCAATTATCGTTAATTGTCGTTAGTTGTCATACGTGTGTGCTAATGGCTGTGTCTTATAGAGACTGCAACTTCATGTACAAGTATCACCCGTTTCTGCTACTATATACTGCTCATGTCTCTGATGAGGAATCCGCGATGGCTGTCGAAATGTCAGGCGAATAAAAGTGTGATCCCAGTGATCGAATCTTCTTCTTCGCGAAGGTAAGCAAGCCGGAATTGATTACTGTGGAACCTTAGGTGACGAGCATACCCGTCTACGAGCAGTTCAGGTAAATAGCGAGCTATGGCAGAGCATTTCTTTCGACTGACGAGCTTCTGCTCAGTTACCAAGTTGCCAGGGAGTATGTGTTAGTGTGGCTGTGTCCGACCTTGAGCCTTGTTCCCAGGGCGTGAATCTTCAGTCACCTGCAGCCCATAAGTGAAATGGTGCAGTTGTATTGGCTACGAACTCTCGCGAGGCTGGTGCTAAAAGCCGCACAGCTCCAGAGCCTGCCTGACTCAGAGTTGGATTCTCCTTCCACACCGTAACCCTTCTTCTCTCCACCTCTTATCATCTCCCTCAAGCCATCAAGGACTCCTCATAAGCAAAGTACAACTCAAAACAATCGAAATATTTATAATAAGTGCATATAATATAATTGCATTACAAAGTTTCATATTGATGTTCCTCGAGGATGCCATGGACTTATCTTATTACTATTATTTTAAATGGGGCATTTCGTTCCGTACGATGAGCGTTTCAAAGTACGAGCTCAGTGCCGGAACCGATTAAACTCGTAACCAAGGCGCCACTCTGTAGGTTTATATTTCGTTCGAAAGAAATTAAAATTTTAATAATTTGCTGACTTCTCAGACAGAGCAACCCATCGACATAAATACCCAAAATAATATAGGCTGTTTTGTTACTTAACCACTAACTACGCAGTGGCCGTTGATAGTTGAACAACAGTTCGCGAATTTGCAGTGCCATCAAATCCTGTATTGCGCCACTGTAGCCTTAATAACAATATCAGGTGACCCGTTTCCCCAACCATTATTGGACAGCCTGACTTACACATACCAAGCTGCTTTTTGCAGGAAATTACTGCGCATATGACGTTACCTCGATCACCAGTCAGTTTTTTAATGACTTTTTTGCAGACTTCTTATTTGTTGTGACGTAAATCTGTGGTATTGGCCCAGGCGAAGTTAGCCGGCAGTATCGGCACCAGCGATACTCACAAAATGCATTCTCATCCTCGCACAATTTAGCATTCGAAAGTAAATAGATCATAGGCATTTATGCCACGGGAGCTGGAAATTCTTCATCATAGTCCCAGAGGTCTGCACTGTACGTCGATGTACCTTGTGCGTACTGCTTAGGCGAGGGATTGTGTGGACTGCGAGTGGCGACAGACTGGCCACAAACCCGCCTACGCCACTGGATGACTAAGAGCAGAATCAGTCTGGTAGGCTGTGCGTGACCCATGATTGGTTTACCAACATCCAATCAGTTGAAAATGTAATCTGAACCAACCAATAATGGTTCTGCTTAATGTGAAGATTGCCGAAAGTTTACGAGATTTATGATTCAATTTGCGCCGAATGAGATTTTGGCGAGAGCTCTGGGGATTATGTCGCAGTTCACTATACCAGAAGAGGTTAGTCATGTTACATGAAAATATACATGTAACGTACAGGCAAAGTAGATTAAATATTTGCGGCTATGTGGAAGTCAACGATGGATTATCTGTATGCACTTCGGATGCCAAGCACGTGACACGCAGACGCATATGACATTTTTCATTTTCTTTATTACTGCGTTGCCTGAGAACCGCTGTTAAACTGCTCATCTCCACGTTGAAATATGATAATTTGATTTTAAGAACTTGCAATGATATTTTATATGATTAGCTTAATATCACGAACTAAGAAGGAAAATAACGAAGTATGAAAAGGTGGATCGAATGAGTCCCAAGTTTTGGTTTTGGATTTCAGATCCTGTGGAACCCGATAATAACTGCTAGAATCAGTCGCTATCTCTCCAAAAAGGATCGCCTAAACTGCCGGAGCTTAATTCCAACATGGGATCGCCTAATTCCTCGAATTCTTGCATTGTCTCCATCCTCGTTGACAAGACAGGCAGAGCTGCTCGCTATACTCCAAGATGCACCAAAAGGACTCAGTATCTTCCTTCGGGACTTTGCTACGAAACGGGGAAAAGACGTAATTCAACTTCTCATCAGTCTTTCGGGCCCCGCTGGTACTGGACTTGTGAATGTAACGACTTTGGACATCCTGAAACAACCCATCAGTATTGAACAAATGAGTGACCTCATTGCTAACTGCCCCATGCCTCAATTACGCGTTCTCTCCTTATCTGTTACTGCAAGTACAACCAGAACGACTGTCACTGAAAGCCTAAAATCAAACTTAAATTTGGAAGAAGTTGACATTCAAATTCTTGGGGAGTTATTACCATCCGAAGTTCTGCTGCTGATTCACAGCTTTGGTGAAGTACGCAATATTTCTTTGGACGACTCATCACTCCGTCGATACATGATTTCTCCCCCTCCCCCGCGCAGAGCGGAGGAAACTCATCCAGCCTGGACATCATGGAGGACTAGCCTTCGGATTCACCATCAATCTGAACTGCTTGATCTGTTCCTGGGTGAAAAAAAGTATGTCATGCAAATTCCAGAATTGACACTATTGGGACAGCCAGGCTATTTTTTCCCAAGTCGATACATTTCCAATTTCCCCATTCTGCCCAGTAATGTGAAATATGGTACACTCAAAAATCCACCATTGTACATTCGGCAAGTATGCAGAGCTTGTGCCAGACCTGTAGACAGAAGACGTTTGCCTCGCTTACAGTGTCCATCAGCTGACCTGGTTCCAGACGGTGTAGCGACAGTGAACTTCGTTGCCTGCTCTCTCATGTCTGTCGAAGACAACTGCATCCTTCATCCTCTCAACTTGCATGATCTGTACATTCATCTAAACCCTTACGGTAAAATCTCACGCCTCACATCACTGGATGCCGAATCTTCCTCCATAGTTGCCATCACCGAAGACGGAAGACAAGCACTAATGAAAAGTGTGGTGGAAAACCTAATACAGAGACACTGCTCAGAAATTAGAAAACTTTCAATTCGTTTGTGCGAAGCGAAAAGTGATGAGATTCTAACTCAGTATGTCCGGAGACTTATATTTATTACCAGATATTTCATCTTTCCAATAATTGAGATGTGCAGTTCACAAATTTGCTCTCTAGAAGTGTCAGCTGAGATCATTTGGGCCTGTTGTACTGATGTGCAAACCCGGTCTAGGCTTCTTCTTTTGAAGGACAAGTGCTTGAATATTCGAAAAGCGACGGTGGTTGCCATTGAGGGCCCGGCTTGTGGACAAAAGCTCCGTGCATCCGCGGCACATATTTCCATGTATTTGAGTCTGTTTCCCGCATTAAAGGAAGTGCGAATCATGGCTGTGGAAATCATCCGTGATATGACTATTCACCGACTTTTAGATGGCTGCAAAAATCTTCAGAGGCTTTACATTTTCTGCCATCAACTACGTCAGATGGTGTACCTCCCGTTACCGCGTCACGATGCTCTCGAGCTTCTCTTTCTAGAATTAAATGGTCTTTCTGGAGCTGATTGTTGCGACAGACTATTGAATGGAACGCTCGCGCTACTTCTCTCATTAAGATATATTCTACTGAAGGTTGAGCATAGCAAATATCCCAGGGTGAAGACCTTGAAAGATTTCTTCGCTCACAGGACTAAACTGCAGTGGTTGGTTGTAGTCTTCAGCAAATACGGCAAGGTACTTTTGTGTCATGCGGATGAGGACAGTACGGCATCTCCAAACATTATCAGGGATCCCACATTCCACCTGGGAAATCTGACCCACACCTACCCAGAGCTTTATGACATATTTTGGAAGGAGTTTCCAAACTGCCTTAAAGCTACCCCTAGAAATCCTAGTGTTCCTGTGAGAAATCAGTCTCCGCCTGACCCAACGTGGGCTGATTTCCTTAGACACGTGATATCCATACTTGATAATGAGGACGTAATTGATCCGTAACAGAGGGGGACTTCCCTATAGAATTTTATTGATTCTAATAAACTACTTGATGATTGTTTTGTTCAGTTCCCATAGTACAGGGTTCCATAATCGGGGCAAATATTGAAAACACAATAGGGGCACTATCTCATCTTATACAGATTATTAATACTAATGTACTTACAAAATATATTCGGTAATTCTCAAGTTTGTAGCCGTTGAATAAAAGGAACATCTGAGGTTTGGATTTGTTACCAGTTATCGATCATCCTCGGGGAGAAAATGAACAAGTATTTGTTTCGGTAATGAACCGCCTCGGCTAACCTATGGCACATGTGCAATTGTCGTTTGCAAAAATTGATAATCATAATATTTTTGAAGGTAGAGAAGCATGCAGTTGTACTGCATGCATGTTTTAATGTTTAAAAAGAGAATTAGTAAAAATGTAGCCTTGAGCACATAGACTAGTGTGCAAGGCAGCCTGCAATATGGAAATAGTGATAAAAGGGTTTTCAGAAATTGAAGCATTGTGTTTCTTAATACCTTTAAACGGAAACAATCTTACCTGTGCTGCAAACTCGTCTTAATGCTTTAAATATTCCACCCTGTAAGGCCATAGTCTGAACAATTTAGATATATTCGTGCCTAATTTCTGCCTATTTTTAGCCATTTAGCCTGATCACCGCAGTTAGCACTCAGAGGATGCGATTTTACGAGGTAAATGTACACGACTGTAGACACTTTATCCTGACGATATGTATGCGCGTAGTTTCGCTACGCTCCAGTTTGCGAGTGCCCTAAAATATTCCTGATGGCATCAAACAGGGTATAGGTTCAAGGCAAACGAGCATATGCAGGTTCAAAACGTCTGGTTTTAAAAAAAGAGTTACGTCTCAGAGGAACTGGACCTGGTCACTGTTGTTATACTGGTCTTTTTAACCTGGAGCTCCCATTTATGTTCTTCAGCTATTTTCAGTCTAGTGTATGTGACTTGAGGAGAAATATAGGCATTTAGGCTTGAAATACCTATTGACGAAGCGTACTGTGCCACAGAAAAAGTAGCAGTATGTTAGGGCTTATTCAGTCACACCAAAGAAAGCGGAGCACACCACAATACGAGAAAGCCACATGCAAACATCACACCCGATCATTCTCCTATCCCTAGCGCTAACAAATCCTTATCCATCAGCGCGACCACCGCTAGTAGCCTTATCACCTCAACCGAACCCACAGCACAGGAGAGGAATGTGGTCCTTATTTCTGAAACTCTGAAAACGTTGCTTGTGAGAAGTAATACAAAGTAGCAGCCGAGGAAATGCCCATTTGCAGTTATATGGTTGTCCCATGGCCACCACACACGCACACCAAGCATCGACCCAGTCGGGCATGTACGAATCCATCTCACAGAGACTGTCGAACCAGTGTCTGGAAAGCCAAGTTACAGTACCGCAGAAACTTTTTTTGAAAAATGCCGAAGTTTGTGAAAGATTTATAAGCATTTGTGAACCAGAATTAATGCATCTATGAAAACTTCGAAATAATAAAGAACAAACTTTGGCAAATTTGTTAATTAAAAGAAATATAAGAAGTACTTATTTTTTATTTAGAATAATGATATTAGTTCGTATGAAGATGGCCATGTGGGCCATATTTAGATAGTCCTCCAAAACGCAAAACACATTGTCGAGTGAAAAGAAAGTCCTCAACAGAAGTCTGATACTATTATTCCTAAGATTAATAAAAGAACTTTCTTCAATAAGTTGCCTCTTTAAAAAGCACTTTAGTTAGATATGCAGCTGACGGATGTCTTTGTACGTTACCCTTCTTCATTTAATATCGAAATGAAAATGGAGATTTTTCACAAGTATTTTTTAATTTACCAAAAGACACAGCTCGGCTGGACATGCAAGCACTCACTTTCCTCTTTATATTGGAACATTTATCATCATAGTGGATGACTCCTAGGCTATGTTCTAAGCTCGCGGATGCAAAAAAGAGTCGCCGACTTTCTACTAAGATATCCTGTCTTGTCCATCTCTAAGTTACATATAAGTGGAAATTATACTGTACAAGAAGTGAATTTCTTCATGATATAGATCTAATTAGACCTGTTATTACCTTCATCTTCGCGATAATATATGGACAGTTGTGGTTACGTCACAAATACTTAATGCAGTCAAACAGAATGCGGTCAAAATGTTTTTGCTACTGCATTTTGTCAAAAATCTTCATTTATCAGCAAAAACCTTTTTTGTTCCTTGTTTTTGAAAATAAATGTGATTCCTTAAAATGGGCTTCACTTGCATTTGAGCAACTTCGGACTAAATTTTCCAGTTCTTGAAGGGATATTTTTTAAACTTTTCTTACTTATTTTGGCGTTCTCCAATAGCACAATGTATAAAAATAAAAGGTTTGGTTCTCACACAGTTAATAACGTAGGAAAAACCTCTGATATCGGGCTACTTACGATTTCGCCAAAAGTCATGCCTATTAACGTTAAGAAAGTAGATTAAATAGGCAGATTTCCTTACAAAAAGGCTTTTTCGGGGCAAAATCCACTCGTAGTATCAAAATAGCGTGACCAAGTATATGCTTAACCATTGAGTCAAATTTCGGCGTAACCTTTGCACGAATTCCTGCCCATACTCTATACCCGTCGCATCCACCTCCAATGTTCGTACTGCCCACACACATTAACTTACTGCCTAAACCTAGTAAGCCACCCCCCCCTCTACCTCAGTGTAAATCTGTGATAGAACACCGCCACACTGCTTCATGTTTGACTGGCGCCTTACACTACCACGAGATGCTAAAAGTCCTTGCTGGGAAGGTTGATAAATCACTGTCAGACCAGTGTGTTTTTGTATGAAGTGGCCGACTGAGAGCATGGGAGTTACCCTCCAATTTTTTCGAACAGAGGGTATATTTTTCAGAACTTTGGTTGACATTTCATCAGATAGTACATCAATGCTGACTCACTCTGCATAGACAAGCATGGTTCAAGGTTCACCGCCACCAAAAAGTACACATCTACTGGCTGCCTACGCCCGTCCGTCTAGACAATCCGTCTGACCAATCACCTGTCAAGGCCGACTCACACGAAGGCCCCTCCAGAGCTGTGGTGGTTTCTGTGATCATCTCACTCTAGATGCAACGCTGTGGCCGGCGGTTGCTCATTCCTCTGACAGTCGAATTCCTCCTGCCTATTCTTCATTTCCTCCTGTACAAAATAAACTGCTCCTGCCACTCTGGCTTCCCATGACTTCTCTTCTCTGAGGAAACCGGGCCTGAAGATTACAGATGCTGGGGAAGAACTTACTTAACTCCCGGCGATAGACCTTGTAAGCCACCCCCTGCCTCAGTGAAAATCTGTGATAGAACATCGCCACACTGCTTCGTGTGTGACTGGCGCCTAACCCTATCACGAAACGCTAAAAGTCCTAGCTGAGAAGGTCGATAAATCACTGTCAGGCCACGATGTTTTTGCATGCAGTGGCAGACTGAGAGAATGAGGGTTACATTGCAAATTTTTCGAAGAGAGGGTTACTTTTCGGAATTTCGGTTGATACTTCATCAGATAGCACATCCAATGCATGCCAAATAATAATGAACATTTCGCCTAAACCGAAAAACGAAGTGGTTTGAAGCGAATGTAAGGCGTAACCTGCACCCAGTTATTGCCTGCTTGCCCAAAATAGCGTAGCTAATATTCAGGTGCTCGCGGTTTGTTTTTTCCCTAATTAAATTATTACGAGACGCATATGCATATGATTCAATTAATTCTTGCGTTTTTTTTCGATTTTCATAGTGGTTTCTGGCAAAGCTCCATTCCTTCTTTAACAATAGGCAACTCTGGCGCAGGAAACTGCATAAATTCATAGCATCTCTCCGATTCGAACAGTTTGCAATTCAATTAATTGTTGCTTCCTGCTGCAGAATATCATTAGAATGCTTTCGACCGCAACCGTAGTAGCTAGGAATACCGTTTATAAATGAATGAGGAAATAGTTTAAAATTTACGGCACTTTTTTACGCTTTAGCAATATTGAAAGCAGGCATAAAGAGCAGGATTTATTGATATCAACAAATTTCGCGACAGCTTTGTAGCGACCCCCTTTCTTAGTCATGCTTTCCTCGGACGCCGCGCGGACT